GTATATATAAATATTGAAGTTTTTCTCAAGGTTATAATCACACTTGCTTTTGAAACATTTTTATTGATATAATAAAAACTCATTTTTGTTATTTGTTTGCCCTTGTGGTGTTTATTCAAAAAATAACTGAATATTCTACAGGCATTTCTCATGAGAATTTATATATTTCCAAATACAAAAAAACAAACTTTTAATAAAGCACTTTTTTTTTGCATCAATGGAATGTATTATTTTTAAAAATTAAATTATTATTTATGTAGGTGGTTGATTTTTTTTATTTTTTATTTTTCAATTTTATTGTTAGCTTTACATTTCAACGAATATACGATAATTCAATGTAAATAAAATAAACTGTTTTGAAAAAAATAAATTAAAATAATACATAATCAAGTTTTAATTGGTTAAAAATAATGATATTTTTGTGTATACGACTGTTTAAATATGTTTTTTTCGGTAGTTGTATTATTGCACATGACTAACTGAAAATAATATATATATACAAATAGTTATCCGATAGAATGTTTAATATATTATTAGACAATTTGTAGTGAAATTAATATCATAACTATCTGAATTTGTACTGACAAGTTCACAAGCATTCGCCACTTTATGTTAAAATAGTCATGTTCATTATAGTACCTCGAATGCCTATTTCCCAACAGATTGAATTATGTCAGATGATCAGCTTTAAAGATATTGAATATTGAGACCAGATTTTCATCATATGCATGTCCTGTATTGTGCTTGTTCTAAAGCACGTAAACTGATATGAAATTTAAATTACTATAAAAACCAAAATTTTAAGAATGTTTTCGATTTTAAAAAGATGTATGGTCACAACTGACAGACACAATTTGTGTATATAATATCGGGTTTCAATTATTACTTGTACTATTGTAATTTATATATATTATTCAAAAAATATCCGTTTATCATGATATCGAAAACTAAAATACATAAAATATATAGTACCGTGCTAATAAATAATAATAACTCATAAAAACACCAACGTTGGTCAAAATACAGCAGTATATTTTTGTATTCACATTTTATTTCTTTATTGTAACTTCTTAAAAAATAACATCCCTTATAAAATCAATCACAATTATTCTTTGATAAATTCCAAGGTAATAGAAAAATAATATTTTATTATACATTTTATTTTATTTAACTTATAATAAAGCCACTAAAAATCTTAGTAAAAAAAACATAATATATAAAATTATAATTATAACATACTACCTATTTAAAATGGAGTAATATTTCCACAAGTCATTTTGATTATTTATTCTTATCTTTTTACCCATCCTATCAAATTATTTTATGAAAACTACTTCCAAAGTGTTTGTTATTCTAAATCTTAATAAATAAACTCGCTAATAGGTATACATTTTTGTAAAAAATCATATTTTCATGTCAAAAATAATTTAACTTAACGACATTGACGACTACTCATATAATCTTTTATTTTTATCAAGGACCTTTAAAATGATCATATTTTATTGTTATTTTATCCAGATATTATGCACTCTGTTTTAAACTAAATAATGACATGATTATTCTCTAGTGACATATTATTTTAATAAGTTTTATTATAAACTATGAAACTACTTAAAAATAAAATAACTATAATCACAAATTTAGGTCACTCGGCGGCAGTAAGTTGTTTGATTATTTTATTAAAATATATTATTGAAATAGAAAAAAAAACATGTAATATTTTCAATTGATCTTTATAATATAAAATTAACTATTTCAATTAAATATAAATACTTATTTTGTTTGTAACGACTACTCTTTTTCATGATAGTTCACTTTTATCATAAATAAGTAATATATATATATATATATATATATATATATATATATATATATATACGAGTATATATCTCAACCTCAATGTTACAGTTTTACTTGTCTCCGATTTTGTATAAAACACACATGAGTTTTCATCAGCGTTATGTTTTATCTCAAAATTGGGAAATAATATATAATATAATATGGCATACGTATACTACATAATAATAATGAAAAACAAATGCTGATGACAAATTACTTTTGTAACACATGGTATACAATTTTAAAGAGTGTAATAGTATAATAAATCATTAAATGAATTTGATACGATTCCAACCAAATATTAAGGTGTTCACTTTAATAAAAGCTGTCCAAAATTATTTTTAGAACTAAATTTATTATCAATTTTTAAACGAATAAAGTAATTTGAAAAAAAATCGAAGATATATTACCGGAAATTACATGGTTCAATAAGTTCACTTATTTATTTTGGTTATTATATCAGTTATTATAGCGTAACAAATCATTTTTATGAATTTTCAAAAATATTACTAAAAAAGTTACTTTAATCTATGTCGTATAAAATTATAAATCATAATTTTAACAAAATTAAAATTAATACATTATTATCATATTTTTAACTGAAATATATTATGTATATTCTGTCACTTAAATAAAATTATTATAGATATGTTAATTTGTAAATTATATTTATGATAAATAATAACATATTGGGCGCAAAAGTAAACTAATAATGTATAAACTAATGCACTAATAATAGATTTATTCATAAAATAAAATAACGATTTCTTTAGGCTAACAATATATGGAGAAAATAGATATTAACGACATCAACGTTTATGTTTGTATCAATATTTTAGTGAAATGTATTTATTTTTTTATTTGGTTTGTATTTTGTATAATTCAAATTCAAAATCCGTTATTCTAGATGTATGGTATTAGTTCAGTGATATTTAAATCAAAATAAATGTTAAAAACATTTGTTTTTATTCATATTAATATATTAATATATTGAAATGGAAGAATTTCTTATACAACATAATTGTATGAGAATGAGAGCGAGTATTGATCGAGATGAATGGGTGCAGAAACATTTTATATTATTTGTTTACATATGTATGCACTTGTGCACTAGTCTTATAACCAGTAGATAGTATAACTCTATATCTTTTCAAAGCCGGACAAATATAATTTGGTGAAATTTAATCATTTTCCACCGTTATAGGTCCCCAGAGGCTATTTGACTCTATGTGATCGGAAACCGTTATATTTTTTTCCTCCATTTTTTTTTTTTTTTTTTTTTTTTGCCAACTGGCCGGATAGTACCGTAAAATAAAACATAATATAACTTTACCCTTCATGGCCACTTTCTCTATTTTAAACTTCTTTCTACAGTAAAATGTTATTATATTTGTCGATACTACCATGTATAGTTGTTTAAAAGTAAATCCTGCTAAGCCCTGAGGTCACAATACATGATTATATATTATGATAACGTAAAATGTTTGATTCTATCTTTTTATGTATTCCGATTCCATTGAGGAAAAAATAATTTACAAGTTATAGGTTATATTAAATAATGCAAATAATGAAATAAATGAAAAAAAGTTTCTTTTTCATCATTTAATTTTGTTGTGCCAAATCCTTAATTTACTTCGTGTCTAGACTATACAAAACTTTTTTCTTGTTTTAAGAAGATATTTAAGTATTGCTTAATCTTCTTGTGAATATCCTACAAAACTCTCTAGTAAAATTTGTTTTATTTTTTAAGCCAATAGTATACGCATACATAGTATTACCATAAATCATATTTATTTATCTATCCTAAGCAAACATTATTGTAAATTGTTCAGTAATTTGATTGGATTTTTTTTCCTTTTTTTTTTAAATATTTATTATATAATTTACATAAGTAGTAAGTAAACTCAATTATGGAATTGATAAATGATAATACAATAATACAGCAATGGAAGAAGAGCATAATTTTAGGCTCGCTGGCCAATGGTCATGGCTTGCTCTTATGATCATAAATCGGATGTTTGAGTGGAAATCGCATTGATAATATTCACCTTGGTAGTTGGTACAACATCCGGGTCAAGTTGGAATAATTGTAAATGGATGCAGTTATAATAAACAGCTGTATATGTTTAGTAACTTGATTCGAGTTATTCATTTGTGGAGGTACAATGTAAACATAATTTATTGTTTAAAATCATCCAGCTATATAAGATAAATTTGTATGTTACTGATAAACATAAATTATAACTAGAAAAAATAAGTCATCTCATAATTTAATTTATAAATTAAAATTGCTATAGATTTTGAAAATTATGATTGTACATTTTTTCAAAAAAAAAAAAAATAAATAAATATAATAATAAAAATAAAATAAATAAATAGAATGACTAGTTAATACAAAATAAATATTAGTTTCGGTAAATTGGATAACGTCTAATATCAATTCTTCTACATTTATGTTGTAACCATAAAATGTTGGCATCAATTTATAAATACGGTAAAAACAACAATTATGAGATAAATTGTATGTATTGATGACTAATATTTGAAAAATGTTTGCGCGAATCTTTGTGACGCGAAAATGAAAAAATTAGAAAAATCTGAAAATTGTATTTATACACTACACTAATAACGCCAGTTTTCATCAAACAGTTATTTTCCAGCTGCATATTATTATTATATGTAGACTTTGAAAATATTTAGCGTACATTTCAAATGGATTTCTATTTCCGGTCGATATGTATTTGACCCGTTGTTGCCGCGCATTATAAGTCCGTGCCAGTACGAATCCCATGGGCCATGTCGACCGTTTCGGGTGTGTATAGTTGGATCGCCGCCGGTCACTAATATCACATTATTAGACGCAAGGCGTGTTGAGATTTTTGTTATTATACTTTTTGATTTCTCATCTTACGTTTTCGTCGGATTAAACTATATAGATAGATGACCGACGTTACTGAAACGGTACAGGGTTTAAAAGCAATTGAAGGATATCGAAAAAGCGATCCATGATCTTCAAATATATAATATATACATTTTTAGTATTAATCAAGAAATTTTTGATGACATTAGAGAAAATTATCTCTTAACAAACTATTTATAACTTAGAATAAATGCATGAATATTTCATTTTGTTTATTTTTAAAATGACTTTTTTGTTTCAGATTGTATAGTTAAGGGTGAATTCATCATACCGTTCCCTGCAGTCGAAAACGACTTGATAATGGTATCGTATTATTTGTATTTATGTCATGAATTAAAATTTTTGATTTTTAACGATTATTGGATAGCTTATATAAATGGCTGTATTATACTTTACAGTTATTTTAATAGGTGAAAAAATCAATCGTAAAAAGTATACCGACTAAAATATAGTTGATACTTCTTAGTTACAAATTTAAACTAATTCACCCAAACAATGTAAAATATTAAAATATCTATAAATAAGAATATATTAAAAATGAAAATTCAAAAAATCGATTATTTTAATTTGTATATGAGATAATTATATTTTTACAATATAATATTGCTTAATTTGTTTATTTTATATTCAATTATAAAAAAAAAAAAATTAATATTTTCAAAAAAACATGCTGGTAAGTTGTACAAGACTCCATTAAAATGTGTACAACTATAAGCAGTTTTCTTAATACATATATAAAAATTAAAATTTACCCCAGCATAGTGTATACCTGTTATTGATTTCAATCTGAAAACTAAAAATACCTAATAAAAATAATAAAACAAATAAAAATGTTCTAGATATCTATAATATAATATTTTTTCAAAGTAAAGTATTGTAAATATAAACATAGATTTCCATTTTATTGGAGTTTGGAGATGCTCTAAACAATGATACAACGTTATGACTACTATTTGATTCGTCGCTGTATTTATTGTTTTTATTGTCACAAAGAAAAATTGTATTTTTGTAAGCTTATAACCGAGCATGAAGGCATATGAATTTGCTTTGGCGAATTTCATTTATTTTGGTATGTGACATCACTCTATTGAATAACACACACTATAAAAAATATATATATATATATTAGTTAAAAAGGAAGTGATTTATCGAGAATCGAAAGTTGTTCCTTATTTAAAACTTTAAAATACTTTTTTACGAAACATATAAAACTTAAAATATTTTTATATGTGAATAAATCTAACTGAACAAAAATTATTTATCAACATTTCAAATCTGATCAATAACCATAAATGTAGTTGTGGTATCTTGTTTTATTAATCTTGTTTATTCGGTGTCTGATGCATTTTGCAAAATCCATATTACTAGAAATTATATTATATCTAATAGATGAAAAATTAACAGATCAATATTTTAAAATAGATAACAAATAAGTTTTGTCTTCTTTTTCTAAAATCACTAAATAATGAAAAAGTATCAAATATATTTACACTTTTTTCCCCTTACCATAAACACTAACGGTTTATTCTTCGTTTTCGATATAGCTCACCATTCATAGTCACTAATTAAATAATTCTTTTGAATAATTTATACATCTACACATTATCAAGAAAATAGTGTTAAGAAAAGATAACTAAAATGTTATCTAGATAAGATATAGATATAATAGTCTTAATCTAAAATATAATATTTTGTAGTACTATTTTTTTGTCTCTTGCTTCTATATTATTTTAATAGACTTAATTATATTCATTTACATTGAATTATGTTTTAACTAGTAAGTGTTGAAAACGGGTACCTACATATTGATTTAACTTAAGACTATTGAAGCTGTATATGTTGCATGTCGTTAACTTCAATAGCAATTTCTTTTTCTAAAATCGTCAGAAATTATTTATCACGAGTATTTAATATTTATAAAACAATAATGACAATACTGTGTTTCACACTTTTTTACATATACCATAATGCTTTTAAAAAATAGTTTCACGAAAACTGACACCATTCTGTGGTTATACTTCAATTACTTTGGCGCTTTATAAACATAAACCATATAGTTACACAAGTATCTTCCATTATTCATAAATTATTATTCAAGTAAAACTTTTTTTTTCATCTGACATAAGACTTGTAAATAACGCTTAATTTAAAAACACATACAAAATGCTGTTCTCCACGCTCTGATCAATACTAGATTTTTATTACGAACCAAAAACATGATTATAATATTCACATTAATGTGGCTTTATAATATAAAATTATTTCTGATTGTTATTTACTTAAAGAGTCAATAATGTTTGGAGTCATTGAGATTAATATTTTTATAAATAACAACAAAATAACTAAGATTATTGTTATGAAAAAAATAACTTTTTCTTATTTAAATATTCAATTTATTCAATTTCGCTGAAATTAGAATCAACTTCAAACGTTCATAAACAAATTAAAAGTTTTAAATTTTTATTATTTTTAATATTTCTATAAGAACAACTTATGAAGAATATTGTATCAAAAAAAGAATTCAACTAACATAAATATATATTTTTTTTTAAAAGCAAATAAAGTAAATAAATAACTTTAAAAAAATCCAAAATATTTATATAAATACTCAACCCAATATACAGTTGTTAATTTTTGAATGATTAGTAATAAATGAAAACGATCGAGTAAGTTGATAACTGGAATTGCGTTAGTGTTTTTGTTTTATCTTCCCGGAAAAAACAAATGTTTAAATTAAAAGTTTTAAAAAGGAAAATATTATTATTTTGAAACCTAATAATTGTAATATGTTATTTTATTTTTATTTTCACTTCAATCATAATTTACTATTGAACTATTTTTTTTTGTCATTTTAGGTAAGTAGGTATTTAAACCACTGTAATATTTGACTTAAGATTTTCATTTAAAGCGTAAATTTTTACAACATACTATTATATAATTAATTATTTTTTTCTGAAATGTATTTATTGGTTGAATATTTTATTTAACGATAAATATTTCTTGATATTTCGATGTTTAAAAAATGTATATATTATACATATTTTATGGAAATGTATATAATATTAGTATTGCATAGTTTTTATATTTCTTATTAGTTAATTTTAATAGCTATTTGGAGACAATACCAAATAATATTCTATGAAATGGAATCGTATTTGTAATATAAGTTTTTAATATTCAATGTTTTAAAATTTTTGTACTGATTCTGTCTTATAATTACTACTAAATTATATGAATGAATAATAATTTTGTCCTATTACATTAATAATAATAAGTTATCAAAGACATATATTATGAACTCTTGATAAATGTTATATTATTAATTTTGTAATAAAATCGTCAACCAAGAGCTAATAAGCAGCCTATCCGTATCACAGCCTAAAGTCAATAAATTTTAGTGTTGAATCACTAAGTCAATGTTAAATTCATATTGTACAATAAATAATGTATGATAAAAGTGTGCATTGATTTTTTTTTTAAATGTGTTAGCATAGTATAATACATTTTATTGTAGCTTAATTTTTAATTTCATTTCTTGTACTTTTTAATTATTATTTTAGTATTTTTATTTTATTGTATAAATACCAATCAGCAGTTTTTTTTAAGTAGATATTATTATACTATTAATAAAATATATAAATGGTAAGGAAAACGGTTTAAAAAACACATATATTATATACAATATATATTATTCTAAATTTTAGCATTTATAATTAATTAGTCAAATTAAACTAAATAATATTATATTATATCACTAAAAATGAAAATTCGTATTTTTATTTTTGATTAATTCCTATAAATATTATTAAGGCCTTGTAAAAATATATGTAACTTATTATCATGCATTTCATTAATTTATAATTCATTATAATATCCATTAAACGTTTATTAAAAGTATAAACGTATAATACATTTTTAATAAAATTTAAATTTGAATTTTGATGATGTGAATATAATATGATACAGAAATCTGATATTAGTCATTCATATCCTATTTCTTGATTTAGAACAAAATATTCAACTGCTATGATAATAATTATACTTTAGTCAAAGATCAGTTTTAACGAAACTTAATTAAAAATGTGCATACTTGCAATTCTTCTAAATGTTATTTTTTTTTTTTATGAATTAATAAAAATATATAAAACATTTTTATTTCAATATTTTAAAATGCACAGTTTTGGATATATATTTACCTCTTATCCATTCACTGTTTTGTGTTTAGCGTTTGAAACTCTTTTTGGCATTTTCGTTCTTGAAATTTAGAATACTTAACACAAATTATCTACTTAATGAAAAAAAAATGTACTCAAAATGTGCTTTTCTTTACTATAAACATGGTTCATATTGAATTAATCAATAGTATATTAATACATTTTCGATATGGAACTATATTAAAATATCTAACTTATGTAGTTTATATATATATATATATATTAAGATACTTATTTGATAAAAAAAAAAAAAAAAAAAAAAAAAAAAACTGTAATAATATTACTTCTCTGGCAAGTATTTTATTAAAATTAATTAAATATTATTAACTATCAACGAAGAAAATATATCTTATTTTTTATCATAAAATAGTTATTTATGATTAGTTCTTACTTATTATTTTTCGCAATAATTTTTATTTAATATTAGGTATTCTATCTAATAATATCTGCCCCGATCTGTAAGTATTAAATAATCAAATTTAAATGAAATCTTCATAAATATTATTAAATTTTAATAACTTCACATGAAAAATATAGTTAGAAATAAAATATTTTTAATTTATCGTATTATTGAAATAACTTCAATGGTCTAGATACAAATCAATGTAATTCACATGTATAACAAATACATTCCTATGAGTAACCGAAAATACAATTTAGAACCAGCGTAGTGTAGTAGGATCTGATCATTTTGATCTTTCAAATTTACAATTTAAAAAATTCTTTTTCGAAGCGTTTTATTTTTATGGTGTTCACCAGGCGTGACTATTGAAATTTTTTGAACTGTGATAATATGCGTTTTCAAGAGAGAAAACTGTTTAAAATCCTTGTTACTTTAACCCTCAAAGATTTTACGTTTTTTTAGTAGGTACTTAAACTAAACAGTTTTATACATTTTAAACTTATCGCGTAATCATGACATATGCATAAAGTCATATTATATGCACACTTGGCATTAAAATCTTATTATAAAATAATTTTTATGCATGCTTGAATGATTTTATGAATTTTTCATTAATATTAAGTGATATGACACTCACCATTTTTCTAAAAATAAAAAATAAACATTTACGTTATTTGAAAAATTAT